TTCAGGCTTTGGAAAGTTCTTACCAATGAGGAACCGAACAGCTGGGAAGGACTTTATGCTTCATCCATTCATAATCCCTCAATAAGGTATTTCCACCGTGTTATCTCCAACACCATTTTTGGGAGGATTAACAACAAAAAGGTTAATTCTAAAGAATTGTTCCTCCTCTATTGTACCTTCAAACCCAACCAAAGGATCAATGCAAGCACCTTCCTCCTATCATATATCCAGTCCTTGTGTGCCAGAGGATCTACACCTTTCTACATTGGAGGGATAGTTACCTCTATAGCACTTGGCATTGGCTTTCAAGACAAGCTTGCAAATTTTCCATCACTGTCGCCCACTTTCATTGACATGGAAAAATGTTGGGATGGCCACTTTATTAAGGTCAGAAGAGATGGTAGGTGTTGTACCCCCAATTTTTGCCCCTAAGATTCCTACATCATACCATATTGTTTCAATCACAACAAGATCACATTAGGGTTTTTGGTTCTTCTCCCTATCTTTAGCCTTGTTCTTTTGAGGAATTACCAAGCACTTTGACTTGTTTTCTTTTGTGATCATGGATATTTTGCTTTGATTTTATCTCTAGTTAATAAAATGCAATATTGGTTTGTCTTACTTGTTAATAATGTAGGTAAAGGCAATGAGGTTTAGCAAGTTGCTTCATGGGTTCATGAGTTTATTTCCATGCCCTATTCAATAGCTTGAGAAATTCAAACTTCACTATTGGAGTGATTTTGGAAGAAATGACACGACAAGGCTCATTTTGGTTTAACATATTTCAAAGTTATCAAAATTGATTCAAAAGTACAAAGGGTTAAGGGGAGAAGTTGTCATGATTGGACAAGGTCTTGTTTCTATTCATCACAAGAGCATATTTTTCTATAATTTCAAGATATGGAAGTGGTTTTGGTGGCTATGAGTCCTCATCACCATCCTCAACAACTTCTATTCACAAAGGAAGAATATTGGCACAAAAAGATTTTCAAACTTGGTAAATTTCCTCAAAGCATTCTCTTGATCTAGAGGCTAGGGTTTTGGACTTCAAAGGAGCATATCTTGCTCATATTTTGGTATTTTTGAGTGATTCCAAAAACATCCTTATCTTCAAAGAGTTACCAACAAATCACTTCAAAAGTTCCAAGGATTTTTCATGTGGAAGGAACTTGATGAAGAAGAAAGATTACAAGTCACCCAGATGGATCCCCAATTTTCCATATGTGACTTCAAATGGTCATAACTTGGTCAATTTTTATCACCTTGAGCCCATTCATTTTTCATGATGATCTTAAGGATGTATACTTGATGCCTTATTTTATTTGCAAAATGAGAAAATGGATGGAAGTTGCCTTAAGAGTGCAAAAGATTATAGGTCATTTCATGATTTTTGTCCAACTTCAACAAATCATAACTTGCTCAATTTTTGGAGATTTTGAGTGTTTCAAATTTCAAAATGTCATTCAAGGGATCTACTTCATTCCATATTTTTTGGTCAAGAGCAAATTCTAAGTGGAAGACCATGTTTGGATGCAAAAGATTATAGGTCTTTTTTTTAAAGAAGAATTTGAAATATTTCTAAGTATGGAAAGTCAACTCTTTTTCTTCAACTTTGACTCCATGTAACTTTCAGCTCAAGCATACATTTGATTCCATTCTTTTTATATTGCAAAGCTTGTAACCTCATCTTTCCAAAGCATCAAGAATTATGCCCTAAGACCCCTTGAGGTGAAAATGCCATGGATTTGAATTGGGTAGTTTGAAACTGAATTTTTCACAAAGTCAGGATTTTGAAATCTGTGTTTTGGCTTCTAATCACAAGATTTCCACGCGTTTTTGGTTCTAATCATGTTTAGCAAATTTCCAGAAGTGATTAGCATCATGAAACGCACGATTTGGCTGAGTTTTGATCAAGTTTGAGTCACACATTCTTCATGATGCAAACCCACATGAATTCCCTCCAAAATGCATCATTTGCTATTCCTTTTGATCCCATTTGCTTCCCTATAAATAGAGGGTCATCCTCCATTCAATTTCCCAAGCTTAGATAGCCAGAATCACCCTGCCAAATTTGCTTCACAACCCAGAATTCAGCAACTTCGAAATCTATTCTCAAGCCTTTTTCAATCCATTTCCCCTCAATTCACCTTCCTTGATCTTCCCTGAAGCTAACCATATAATTACATTCAAGAATCGTGCCCTATATTGCTCCATAGAAGTCCAGTTTCAGAGCTCTGCAACTCAACTTCAATAGGTAGATTCCTTCATCAATTCTCCAAAACTATGATATCATTGTGTTGCTCTCATTTCCCTGGTTCTAGTCGCAACACTTACATTTAACTAGAAGCACGTTTTGACCATGAATTTTCAAATCCCTTTTCAAAACTTTCTTTCCAAATTGCTTGAGCTACAGTTTATATAAACTTGGCGCGAGGGTGTGGTTGTTTTCGTCTTGAAGAGACGAAGCGATTGGCATAGGTCTGAGCTTCTGATTTTACAGTTTGAGACCTGCAAATCACGTTAGTTGGAGGTTGAAGATGACCTACGTGTCATCTTCCAACCAATGATGGCGTGCCATTTGTGTTTTTCAAAAATCTGATTTATTAATGATTATGTACATTATTCATTAATGACCATGATATGCACAGCGTGCCAGATCCCTTGGATTGGATTACTAATGCATTTTGACTCTCATCCAATGGTCCATGTCTTTTACTTTTATTTTCTTTTTCTGATTTTTATATTTTAATTGTTTTAAATTTCAAAAAATCATAGAAAATTCATTTTTAGTCCAAAAAATCTGAAAAAATTATGAAAAATATTTTTGATTATTCTCTTTCTGAATTTTATTTTTTCACAATTTAATTTTGTGTTTTGGTATTTTTTATGAATTTTACACTTATTTGATTTGTTTAAAATATTTAAAAATACTTTTATACATTTTTAAAATCTGAAAAAATCATGGAATGATCCAATGGTATTGTGACAAATATTGGTGACCTTATTTTATTTTTGTTTCTGACTTTACTATTTTTTACTATTTTTGTTTATTTTACCCACTTATTTTAATTTTTAAAAATAGTTCATGACTTTTAAAAATTACCAAAATTTTTGTAGAATTACTTGGCCTCTTTTCTGATTTTTCTATGGTTTTATTTTTCATTTCTTGATTAATTTGAATATAATTGGTATTTTCCTCATTATTTTCCTTTTTTAAAACATTTTTTAACCTTTTAATGTATATATTAAATACATTAATATTTTGTGATTATTTTCTGGCTGTCTTGGGTTGATTTTTTGATCATGACTTTATTAACATCATTGGATCCATAATGTTGAGTTTAACTCCACAAAAATGGATGAATGATTTTAATAATAGTTTGATTAATTTTTTAATTCAAAAGTCGTTTATTCATCTTTTTGCCCTAATCCTTTTCATCTCATCCCCTTCTCATTGCACTAAATATTGTTGGAGCATGATCTCTATATCATGTCTCAAAAAAATGGTGCATAGATTTCTATTGACCGACCTCAAAATAGGTGCGACTTCTATATAAGTTCACTTACGATTGCTTAACATAGCGCTAAATTTTGTCCCGATTCGAATAAATGATCATTCATGGCCCAAACTTATGATTGCAAGCCCAAGTATGTTAATTTGATCTCTTTGATCCAATAACCTTGAGATTCATTGTGTTGAGGCTTTGGTTCTACCAATCATCTAATGGATCTACAACACCTTTGGTCAATGCTGTCATACCCCAAATTTGCCCGCCCTTTTATTTCTACAGTCAAAAATATTTTAAACATTGTTTTTATAATATTATTTGATTTTTATAAATGTTCATTCTCAAGTCCAGTCAAAAATATTTTAATTATTGATTTTAAAATATTATTTTATTTTTATAAAATATTCACTTCCAAACCTGTTTAAAAATATAATGATTTATTTCAGATCATTTGTATTTTTGAATAAATAAATATTCCCATTCATTTCATATACTTTCAATTGAGTTTATTTACAAATGAGTAAGATAGCACAATTGCTAAAGGATGAAGCTTTCGAATATAAGGTCGCGGATTCGATTCTCTTGTGCCGCACTTTCAACTTTCAATATTTTCTTTTCTTTTTTCTATTTTTTTGTCACTAATTTTCTTTCCTTTTTAAATAGGTGTTTCTTATTGGCCATTGGATGTCAATTTGTGTCACACCTTATTTTTTTATTGGTCAAGTTTGTTTTATTTCCAATTTGGATGATTTTTTTAATCTATAAATAGGACATGTTTTTCACTTCTAAATCATCTAGAAATTTTACAATTCATCCACAAAAAACTTGCTTTTTTTCTTTCAAATTTTTATAATTCTTGTTCTTAGTTTATTATAGAATTGTTGTCTATATCAAACAACAATGACAATTTCTTTATTAACGGCCGATGATTTTCTTATGAGGCCCCTCCCTTATAATTTCAATTTTTCTTTATCTTTTTCATATTTTAATTTGTTTGTTGTTCTAACCACATGATGATATTTTGATGGTTACGTTTATTTTAAATTATATTTTCGTACTAACTTTTTCCTTCGAAACTTTCACTAACACTCACACGACATTCCCTTAATTTTGTCTATTATTTTTTGGTCAAACTAAATAGTTTATCATCGAAAACTAACCTTCCCGTTGAAAATGGAATTTCATCATTAAACCATTTTTTTAACTAACTATTTACATTACTTAATTTTACTGATTTTCTATCTCTTTTTAACTAATATTGTTACTAATTTTTTCTAACAATTTCAAAACCCACTTTTTCTACCACTCGCGTATTTTATACAGTAGAACCATACCAACACAAACCATTATCATCACCATTCTAAATTCAACCAAAACAAACATTTCCATTCTAATCCAGATAAACATATACTATAATCTAACTTTCACAAGCTCCTCCTGTCAAAACCATTAACTAAATTTCATTAAAGGTACAACACAACATAATACTTGATGCTAACAAATTGGTACAGAGGTTTATTTTCTTTTTTGCAGAAATATGAAAAGAACAAAACAAAGTCATCCGCACAACATCGGCCATCTCTCTATGATCCACTCTCGCCGGCGACTTCATCACCTTCGACGACAACACCTCGAAGCTACGACGTGGACAACTGAAGCTCCAGCCGCACCCTATCTCCACAGACTTCACGCGTACAGACTGCCTTGCCGTTCAACCAGCTTCGGCCTTCCTCACATCGCGATTGCAACACCGATCGATTCTCTCACGCCACACACAATCTCTAGGCACTACACGGGTAGACCAAGGAATTTGAAGCGAAGCAGATCGGGAAGAAATGCAAAGGATTTAGCAAATTTGCGCGGATCAGATCCAACACCGTCAACACGCCACAACCAAGATCTACCGTATAACACCACCGCCGATCCATAATCCCTCCAACGCAAACCTGTCGATAACTACCGATCCCTCCAACGCAAACCTGTCGATAACCAGCTGCCAGAATCAACCGCATAGCGCCGCCGGAGTCCCACAATCGACGAGCTCCGACCGGTACTCTTGGTATTTTCTCTTATTTCTTGCCTTGAATATTTGTTTGTTTTTTTTGTTTTGTTTACAATGATGCCTAGTGATTGGATCTGAGAGAGATTTGGTGAACAAAAGAGGGTGTTTACTTTGGTTGATAAATCTGTAAAAGAAAAGGGAGTGGGAATGAGAATCTCACGAGAGAGAAAGATTAAGAATAAAATATGGTTATGTTATTTTCTATATATTCATATTACTGTTTTTTTCATTATTTAATTATTTAATTGATATAAAAATTATAGATTAGAGTTAAGAATAAATGGGCTTTGGATCTAAAATTTTCATATTCACATCTTTCATCGTCGTTAGTCTAACGTGAATTGCACTGATTTCTTTTTAATTTAGTAATTTGTTATTCAATTTTAATTAAATATTTAATTTTGTGTTATCGGTTTAGCCCTTTATTTTACTTTTCATTTGGGTTAATATTGATTAGGCTAATTATGTTCAGTTTACTTATTTTTATTATTAAACATGGTATTTCACAAACCTTGTACATAAATCAATAATTAGTGCATAATTTTAAAATAAACTTTGAATAACTTTTTTTTTTTTTTATAATTAAATCAATTTAATATTTTATATTAAAATATTAAAATTCATGCAATTTATCAAATATTTCATCTGCAAGCGACACGTGGCCAATGTCTGGCTACGTGGGGGAGGATGACTATATCAGACTTCCTCCGCATCCTTCATAACGAGCAGCACGAAGTCAATAACTGACAACGTGATGAGGAGACTATATCAGACTCCCCCGCTTTATATCTTAATATAGCTAACCAACATCAAATCATTTTTCAACTAACATAACAAAAACTACAAGATATTTTCGAAAAAGGATTAAATAGCATTGTCTTTGAATCAAACTATGAACCATATCTACGATCACTCAACTTATAACCCAGACAAGATTCAAGGTTAATTCGAAAGCAATTCTATGCAATCTATAACATACAAACAACCCGCGAACTACGAAAATGAGACTCTGATTCCTCCTAAGGAGGATACGTAGGCATACGATCGAAAATCGTTGCGAGTCCCGCTAAATAAAATTCAAACCCTTTTTCCCCAATAATAATTAAAAACCATATTTCCTAAAATAATACTTCTAAACCTAGTATCCTTGCGAACAAGGTAGCTAAGGGGTGTCTAACACCTTCCCCTCGTCTAGAACCGAGTCCAAATCTAGAATCTCTGAACTTTAGGGTTATTCCTTTATACTCCCTTCCGTTAGGATAAAAATTAAGGGTGGCGACTCTATCTAAAAAACTAGTTGCAACAAATGCGAATCACTTAAACATCGTTGATCATTCAATGGTACTTATGAGAATTCCAAATGGATGATATACTTGACAAAAAGCAAATGCAACTTGTTGTATGGAGGCTTTGGTTCTACCAATCCTCTAATGAGTTCCAAATGCAAGTTTCAAGATGGTCATCCAACTAACCACTAATTATTGACTTGTTCATTTTATGCTTTTATTATCTTATGCTTTATGTACTATTTACTTTTTAGCATTTTCATTTCATGCCATTTTCATCTTTGCTCATTTGAGCATTTATTTTCTTGTCTTTTTTACTTTGCTCATTTGAGCTTTTCTTTTCTTTTCTTAAGATACTTAATAATCAACATAAACCCTAAAAGACTCTTAATGGTACTAGGACTATTTAGTTACTATCCTTAGCATTATGGAGCATGAGACTTTTTCTTGGACTTAGGATTAGAAACCTTGGCCTATCTTGGAGACCTTGTGATCCTATCTAATTATTTTGTCTGGAGCTCTTGAGGTTTACCTCAAGACATTGGGTTGCTTATTTGTTTTTGTATGTAGGTTTCCGTGATTACATCCTTTGTTTATAATCTAGAATTCACCCGTATACAGGCGTTACTCTGCCCAATTTTTGTGAAGACTTAATACACTTGAAGTTTGGTTCTCTCAAGAGGTCTAGTATCTTTGCTTGCTTGGTTTCAATCCAAATAATGGGAATTCTATCTTGGCTCATAATGTCAAGTTTTGGTTTCTTGCTGGTTAGATGGTCCTTATCCTTAGCTTTTACCTTATGCTTTAGGATAGCCTCTTCTACTCCTCCCATCTTCTTTAATTTCATAAATCTTCTCCCTCCTTTTAAAAACTCTTCTTATTTCTAAACTTAAAACACTTTCATAATAAACTTGGACTTAGGTCCATGCCTTTTCAAAACATTTCATCAATAAACTTAAATCAATTTAATAATACTTTGACACTTTTTATGAGAAGACTAAAAGTCAATCAATCTCATTTCAAACCATTTTGCCACTTTGGCATTTTCCTTTAAACTTTTCTTAAAAGATTAGACTCTTGTCAATCTTTGTAGTGATGCAAACAACTATACTTCTACAATATATAGTGAAGAGAGATATTTTCCACTTGGGTGTTTAGTGAGGCGTTGTTGATTTTAAAATCCAAGCCATATCCTCCACTTTGAGATTATGCCAATTCTCCTTTCTCATGATTGTGGGTAGTAAGTATGTTTTCCACACGGACAATGACGATGATGTCTTATCTCATAAAATTAACCAACACACTTGTGTTTCAAACTTTTAAAAGAGGAACTACGTGTACCCTGATCCCCTATTGCATGAAAGGTGGTACGTAGGCACTAAAGGTTCGCAACCGCGGCGGGTGAAAAAATCATAAAAAATATATTTCTCTTCTCACCTCCACTATCCATTTTATATACAACACATTTTTATAGCCAAAATATACAGATTTTACAAAGAGGCTCCTGCGGAGTACCGTAGATGTTTAGGGTGCTAATACCTTCCCTTTGTATAACCAACCCCCTTATCTTGAATCTTTCCCCCTCTTTTTGGGTTATTCGCTCTTTTCCCATTCCTTTGGAAACAATAAAGCGCGGTGGCGATTTTTTATTTTGATTTGTATAAAGTCTAGTTAATCCAATGGCTTAGTCTTGAACATTTCTGCCGCTATAGTAGGTACAACCTCATGGTGCACAACAAGGTAGTTCCTAATGTCATTTTACCGAACTTTTCACTTACTAATATTACAGACTTGTCTAAGTGGCTTTATGACCTTGATGCTCCTACACCTGGAGATAATGCACAAAGCAACCAGGGGAATGTCCAAGCATATGAAATGGAGCAAGAAATGGAACAAGGAGACACTGTATAACAAGCTCCTCCTGAAAATGTTGCAAGCACGTCCACTAGGCCCAGGGGAAGACGAGAAAGAGTACCAACCTCGAATGATGACATTATGACTGCCATAATGGAACAGGATGAGAGAATGCAGGCTATACAGAAGAACCAAAATGTGATGATGCACTTATGATGGCCATGCAAACTCAACAACAAGAATATGACAAAAGAAACGAGCGCTGGGTTGCAAGATTAACTGAGGAAATGGCGGCCTTGACTGTAAGCATGGATGATTTTCAGGATTATATATACCATGTGGCTATGCCCCATCCTCCGGGTACACGTGGACGAGCACGAGGACGAGAAAGAGGACGCGATAACGAACAAGAATAGATTGATTTTTGTTTCTCTTCCCGTTTCCTTTTTTTGTTTTTAAAGCATTGGGACATTTCTTATTTCAAGCTTAGGGGAGTTAGTCAATTTAGAAACTCTTTGTTGCTTAGGTCTTTCTTTCATTTCAATTTGTAATAAAAAAACATCTTTGTATTTTCGAGTTCGTTTATGCAATTTTTCCGTTGTTATCTAATTTCCCACTTTCTTGAGCCATAACAAAAAAAATTCGTTCATTACTTGCATAACCTGACGCGTTCAAAGAATATATAGGTTGCTCACTTTCTAAAAGATATATGAGAAACTTTGAGTGAAACATAAGTACGATGGATACCGTCATAACACTCTAAATCCCTAGATTGCGCTAGATTGATTTCAATACCTTTTTTACCGAAATCTTAAACTTTAGCTTTAAAATAGCCCCAAGTAGTTTATCTACCAGTCAACACTATCTTAAACACAAACTACGTAGGGATTCAACTAATATAAGTGAATGATCCAATATATTTGAAAGATACATGATTTGCTGTAAGAAAATGGGGAATGCACCAATTAAGTTAGGCGACCCTCACCCGATCACTTAATCCAACAGATGCAATACCTATATGATATAACATAAAAACCTGTTGTCAGTTGGTTCAGAGGTGTCTGGTAATGAACTTGGTACGGCGGACTACGGTACGATCCCCCGCAACTTGCAATTGGGTGAATTAAAGGAGGTTACAACATTTATGTTTCAGAACATTGTGCTTAAAAGGATAATAGTAACTAACCAGCTACTCTACTATGCGCGTGTGAAGATAAAGGGATTAATGTGATTGCGCTAGAATGAAAAGGGGTAAAATTTAGCAAAAAGAATTTGGTTGAGCTATAATGGCATGACTTCAATTGGTCTACACAATGGGGGATTTTTAGTGTTATTACCGTATCCTTTGTGTTATGTTGAGCTTACATTTCCGTAAAACATTGACAGCCTCTTATGATTTGAATTGCATCATGAAATTGCATTTAACTTGTGCCTTATTGTTTTTTTACACTAACTTTATTTCTTGAAGACAAGCAAAGATTCAAGCTTAGGGGAGTTTGATAACACGAAAAGATATAGCATTTTCCGCCCGAATTACATTGATTAAATTTCTGATTCTTCGTTTATTATGTCACATTTTTATCTCTTTTTGTAGTTTTTAAACATATTTTAGGTACTTAGCTTTTGCAAGACATAAATGATAAAAGGAAGAAAAAGAATGGAAAAATAAGAAGAAATAGCTATTTAAGCAGCAAAATGCAGCATTCTGTAAATCAGAAGCGTGCCGCC